CTTCTGGCCTCCAAGGACACCAGCCATTCACACATTGCATAGATATACACATAGGCAAAACACTCATATACATAGAAGAAATTTGAAAACCCATGAATATCGAAGTAGAATAAATTTGTTATTGTTGGTTTTACCCTTTGGCTCTTTTACTCTTTTGGGGGGCCCCACCTCCTTGCACTCAAATAAATCACACAGAGGCTTAGCTTGGCTTGCTTCTTGCCAGCTTTTCTTAAAATTTCCCCACGTAAATTTTGCCTCTGGCCTTTTACTTTTCTCTTACTTCTGTGAATCTTACTTTCACTCTTACTCTGTGGCTGGCTGAGTGGCTGGGTGGCTGGGTGGCTGGGTGGCTGGATTTCTCTTTGTATTTATTCTCTCTGCCTGCCAGCCCCACCTTGCTATTACTGTTAAGCTCTCTTAGACCATCAGATGTTTTAGACAGGCAAAGTAACGCAGCTTCACAAGTTTAAACAAATGCAACACATCTTTGAATCATTAAAACGAATGTTCTATAGCATAAATAAATGTAACACACCTTAAAATAATTTTCCACAACATTAAGTCAAAAAGAAATCACTAGATTTCTTCTTTTACTAATTATGCACTACCAATCTAACCAGAAAAGTGGACTACTTGTATAATTTAAAACATGAAGATAAGAACTTGAAAATTGGAGAAATTTACAATTTGATACTTGGTTTAGGTTTTACTTGAAAATCACAAAAAACCAAAAGTCTTAGTTTGATGTTGACTAAGGAATTATACAAGTTTCAACACTTAATTTGGAAGATATTCTACTCAAAAGTGCCTCCCCATCCTTATTCTAAGTAAAACCCTATTAATCTACATGTCTTGCATTAAATTATTACTGCCAGAGGTGATTTTAGTGAACATAAAGGAAGTACAGACATTAAGAAAATAAGCTTTGCTGGGTGGCGGTGGTGCACACCTTTAATCCCTGCAGTAGGGAGGCAGAGGCAGTCAGATCTCTGAGTTCGAGATTAGTTTGGTCTATAGAGCAAGTTCCAGGTCAGCCAGGACTACAAAAAGAAACACTGTCTTTTTTTCTCTCCATTTTTTTTAATTTAAATTAGAAACAAGATTGTTTTACATGTCTATCCCAGTTCCCTCTCCCTCCCCTCCTCACCTGCCCCTCACTAACACCCTACCTATCCTCTTTCTACTCTCCAGGGAGTGGGTCCTCAGAGTCTGTCATATCCTTTGGGATGGGGCCTAGGCCCTCCCTCATGTGTCTAGGCTGAGGGAGTATCACTCTATGTGAAATGGGATCCCAAAGGCCATTCCTATGCTAGGGATAACTACTGATCTACTACAAGAGGCCCCACAGATTGCCGAGGCCTCCACACTGACACCCACATTCATGGGGTCTGGATCAGTTCCATGCTGGTTTCCCAGTGATCAGTCTGGGGGCTAAGAGCTCCCCCTTGTTCAAGTCAGCTGTTTCTATGGGTTTCACCAGCCTGGTGAAACCCTTTGCGCATCACTCCTCTGCAACTGGATTCCATTTCAGTTCAGTGTTTAGCTGTGGGTGTCTGCTTCTACTTCCATCAGCTGCTGAATGAATGCTCTATGATGGCATATAAGTCAGTCATCAATCTCATTATCAGGGGAGGCCATTTAAAGTAGCCTCTCCACTGTCGCTTAGATGGTTAGTTGGTGTCATCCTTGTAGATCTCTGGACATTTCCCTAGTGCCTGATTTCTCTTTAAATCTATATTGGCTCCCTCTATGATGGTATCTCTTACTTTGCTCTCCTCTTTTCTACCCCCTACATAAACTTGCTGCTCCCTTATGTCTTCCTCACCCCTCCTCTTCTCCCCTTTTCATTCTCCTAGCTCCTTCTCCCCTCTCCACATGCTCCCAATTTGCTCAGGAGATCTTGTCCCTTTGCCCTTTTTCAGGGGACCATCTATGTCTCTCTTAGAGTCCTCCTTGTTGCCTAACTTCTCTAGTGGTGTGGATTGTAGGCTGGTAATACTTTACTCTATGTCTAAGATCCATATATGAGTGCATACCATGTTTGTCTTTTCTGTGGCTGGGTTACATCGATCAGGATGGTTTCTTCTAGTTCCATCCATTTGCCTGCAAATTTCAAGATTCCATTGCTTTTTTTGTTTTTGTTTTTGTTTTTGTTTTCTGCTGAGTAGTACTCCATTGTGTACGTGTACCACATTTTCTGTATCCACTCTTCAGTTGAGGGGCATCTAGGTTTCTTCCAGGTTCTGGCTATTACAAATAATGCTGCTATGAACATAGTTGACAGATGTCCTTGTAGGAATGTGCTTCTTTTGAGTATATGTCTAAGAGTGGAATTGCTAGATCTTGTGGTAGACTGATTCCCATTTTCTTGAGGAATTGCCATACTGATTTCCAAAGTGGCTGTACAAGTTTGCACTCCCACCAGTAGTAGAGGAGTGTTCCCCTTTCTCCACACCCTCTCCAGCATAAATTATTATTGGTGTTTTTAATTTAGCCATTCTGACAGGAGAAAGATGGTATCTTAGAGTTGTTTTGATTTGCATTTCCCTGATGGCTAAGGATGTTGAGCACCTTCTTATGTGTCTTTCAGCCATTTTAGATTCCTCTATTGAGAATTATCTATTTAGTTTTTGGTGCTTTCATGACTAGCTTCTTGAGTTCTTTGTAAATTTTGGAGATCAGCCCTCTGTCAGATATGGGGTTGGTGAAGATCTTTTCCCATTCTGTGGGCTGCCGTCATCTTGCTGACTGTGTCCCTTGCCTTTCAGAAGCTTCTCAGTTTCAGGAAGTCCCATTTATTAATTTTTGATTTCAGTGTCTGTACTAAAGGTGTGATGTTCAGGAAGCTGTCTCCTGTACCAATTCGTTCAAGGGTACTTCCCACTAAGAAACACTGTCTTTAAAAATAAATAAATAAATAAATAAATAAAGCCAAATATAAGCTTTCAAAAGAACTCAAAGTCTGTTGTATTTATTTTTCTTTGACTATATCCAAACAGATTGTCAGTCTCAACAATACAAATAAAATGTTCCCTCGTGTGCACACAGCTACAAGCACACACATACACATCTGAGATGGAGTCCCAGCGTGGGATCCACCAAGGCGTTACTCATGTAAGCTAAATGAAAGCAAATTCATCTGTGGAGAGTCATGCTGGTGCTTCTACATCATTGCAGAGAAGCTCTCCAGGAACTCCTCCAGCTTGGAAAACCTCTTGCTCAGCTGGAACAAATCTGTAATTGCCAGGTGTGCTTAAAGGGTCACCAAAGAGTTGTCAGACAAGCCACCATTAACATGTAAAGTGCCAGACCTGGTAATTCATACTTAAACACCCTTGCCTCTAAATAGTAGGTGCTGCCCCAAATTGCCCAGAAAGAAACATGTGGCTTTCCAACAGTTTACAGCTCACAGCACATTTGCTGCTGTGAAAAAGAAAGAAAAATCAACCCTGACTTGGGTCTGGATCCTACTCAACACATCACTCGTGTTTCCTACAAGTCACGTTACTTAGGACTGAGTGAGTATATGGCTCAGTAGTGGAATGCTGCCCTAGCAGATCTTAGTCCCCAGGTTCACTCCCTAGCTGGGGAAAAGAAAAAGAAAAAGAATCAACAAGTAGTATCATTCCATTCTCAATTCTACCCTGACTCTCCAGTATCCTAATATCGAATATGTGAAAAAAGCTCACATTAGTCAGGTGTAGATTAGAAGAAATGACATATGATAGGTAGGATTTTAGTTGGGGGGATGGTAGGGGAGGAAGAGAGGGAGAAGGGAACTGGGATTGCCATGTAATTCAATCTTGTTTGCAATTCAAATATATAAAAAATAAAAAACTAAAAAAAGAAAGAAAAAGAGCTCACATTAAAAGAACTTTGGGGAACAGAATTTAAATTAGCTGATTGTAAAAGAAATGGTTAAAAACAATGAAATTCATGTAAGTCTTCAAATCATGCACAATTCCACTCAGACTTTACACACATCTGGGTCTGCTGAGTTAATGACACTTCCCCCATCCCACCAGATCTACAATGTTCTGGCTTAGCAGTCTTCCTCTGCTCCTATTGCTACTCCCACAAAAGACAGCTCCATTTGGCTCTTTAAAGGTTGGCAATAGCTGACAGGAGTTGATGTGATACCTCCCCCAGCCCTGCTGTGAGGAACTGGCATTTCTTCATGAGCTCCTCTGGCTTCTCACACCCCTAGTGAAGCAGTATGCCTTTCCACACATCTGAGATCCCACCAGTAGAAGCCACGAGGGTGCTGTGGGAAAATAGGCTGTTGGTAAAGCCTGTTCTCACCACCAACTACAGAGTCTGCAAGGACAACTTACAAAATGACAACTTTTCTTGTTCCGACATCATTAAGAACTTTAGTAGTAGGAATGACACAAATGCAACAAAACTCAGCATAGGATCTTGGACCATTGTCACTGACCATGAATCTGGCCTTACACACATTGGAGGCATCCCTGGGTTGGCATAGGCCAAAGCTGTACCACAGGCTGTCTTTCCCTTAAAGATGCACTTTCATATCCTCCCCTGCTTTCTTGCCCTCTGCCATATAGTCAACACTGCCCCTTCTCTGGAAGAAAGCTGCTGTGAGTCTACTTGTTAGGAAACATGCAGAGAGGAGTCTCCAGTGAGAGCTCCAATAGCAGCAACAAAAGAAGGTGCTTGGCTTAGGTCCCAGGTGTCCCATCTCCATAACACCTACCTAGTCTTCATTCCCTACCACTGTCCCACAACCCAGAAAAGAGCCTATGGCAAAGGTTAGACCACAAAACGTTCACTTGAAAAGTGATGCTCGGGCTGGAGAGATGGCTCAGAGGTTAAGAGCACCGACTGCTCTTCCAGAGGTCCTGAGTTCAATTCCCAGCGACCACATGGTGGTTTACAACCATCAGTAACGAGATCTGGTACCCTCTTCTGGTGTGCAGATATACATGGAAGCAGAATGCTGTATACATAATAAATAAAATCTTTAAAAAAAAAAAAAGGATGTCCTCACAGTTGGTCAAGGCTTGCCGAAGTTTCCCTGCCCCGGTGCTGTGGCAACAGGCCCTTTCTGCTGACTGGAGAGACTGTCCTAATTTCTGAAGCTCTGTCTGTAGCATTCTTATATTCTTCTGGCCCTCCTCTAACTTCTTATCTACATCATTGGTGAAGGGCTTGGCTATCGGTGGTGGTTCTAACATTTGCTGATACTTCTGCAACTCTTCAGTTGTAGAGTTTAGCTCTGCTTTGCATTGCTCTAGTTTAGCTGTAACTTCCTGCAGCTGCTGAGTGGAGGCAGAAGCTGCCAACCTTTGTGACCGCTGTAGAGACAGTTCAGACCCTGACTGTTGAGCCACAGGCTGCTGCTGTTTGGCTTCCTGCAATAGAGTTTCTAGCTCTTCAATTTTTTCATCCCGCTCCTGAATCTCTTCTTGATAGAAACTTGTCAATGATTCCTTCAGGATCTTTAGCTTCTCTTCATACAGTTCCTCCAATAGTTCCTTTTGGTGGTCCAAATGCTCACTGCACCATTGCTCCCGCTTTTGCATCTGTTCTACCATCTCATTGCAAATTTCCTCCCGGAGCTGCATCTCCAACTGCAGCTTTTCTTGCCGTTCCTTTAAAAATCAGTGTTTTCATGGCTTCTACCACTTGTAGTAGCTCCTCCTTGCCATACATGGAGGTGTCAGCTTCGTTTTCAGGATGGTCATCAAGGCCTGAGTCGGTGTGGTCTCCTTTCTTTAAGCCAGGGGATACCTGAAGACTGTGTTCCTTGATGAATGCATGCAGGGATGGGATTCCCAAATGTACAGGTGGGGCATGCACAAGCTACAGGAAGAAAAAAAAAATCTTAATTGACTCTTTAGTTCCTAAGAGCTATCCTAGGGTTGCCAGTCCAAAGTAAGCACCGTCATCCATGCCCATAGCTTCACACCTGGCTGGCAAGGGCCGAGAACTTGGCCACATGAAGAGTCTCATCGTAAGTGGATGCACAGGGATTCACATTGACAATCATACATGAACGGCCTCGACCAGTGAAGAAGCCTTGGAACACACGAGTCAACTTGCTGTCTCGGAAAGGAATCAGGTTCTGCTTTGACCTTGCAGAGAATCAGATAAATAGCATTGTCAACATAACTTCAGCCCTGGAAGTTTCTAGGCTCCAGCCTCACTGGTGACCTGTAAGTGACCAAATCACCAAGCCCCAGGCCATCCTTGCCTACAGCTTACCGGTTCTGCTGATTTTGTCGCAAGGCAGCAATACATCGACCCAGGGTATGCAGAGAAGTGTTAATGTTTCCTGCTTCCTTTAGCCGTTCACCACTTCTTTGATCTTTGCAGCGCTCTGAGCCAGCCAAATCACACAGTGACAGTCTGGATGGAATAATGTGTAGGATCTGGTATAAGGAACTCATAGCTTATATAATTCTGGTAAGGGAAGGGCCTACCTTTTTTTTTTTTTTTTGGACACAAAAAAGGGGTATTTATAGTCCAAGACAAGATATCAGAGAAGTCACAGAGAAGAAAATGAAAAGTGTAATAGGCAGCTCAGGCCAAGGGGAAGCTCCTCGGGCTACACCTATACACCAGTGTTTGGTGATTGGTGTAGCAGAACCATCACTGCACTATAAACTGAAACAAAATGGAGGTTCAGAATATTTGTAGACCCATTATAGTCCCCTACTCAGGCCTAAAAGGAAAAACAGACTTAAATGCCTATAGGTCAGAGTCTGGTACAGAGCAAGCTGGCAGATAATATTGGCCAAGTGGTCATATTAGGCAGGCCCTTTCTTCCCTAAGGCTGCATACATTATGTGGCAGAACATCAGGGGTCCTCCTCCCTTTACCAAACAGCTTGTCTTGGAACACATCAGATCTGGTGATGTGCAGGAATTGTGCCTCCCCTGTCCATGTCCCTGGGTATTTATTCTCACTGTTTTTCCCATGCAGAACCCTATTTAAAAACAACCAAAGGAGTATAAAACATGTGGGGTTGAAGATTTGGCTCAGAAATATTTGGAACTTTTTCCTTTCTTTCCTTTCTATGAAGATGGCTATCAGATCTATGAGGTAATAAATAGCTTCAAATTTCTTTAATCTGAATATAAAGGAAAACAAATGACTTACACAGAGGAAGAGCATCAGTGGAATGCAGAAGCTGATCAGCCCAGGATGACCAAAAAGGTCTTCCAAACACAGGAGACAGCATGATCATTCCCAAAAGGATTATTGAGGAAAACTCCTGTGAAGAAATTATTTAAATTCAAAGTTAATACCAACTTAAATAGAGTAGAGTCCTAATCTCAGTCAAATACTTCGTTGGTAAACTCTGTGGGACCCTTGTTCCTCTTCTTTCCCAGAGAAACATCTCACTTTTCCCCCTGTGGTAGAATATAAAGATTTACAAGAGCATCCAGGAATGGAGTGTTCTAGTTAATTTAATTTTCTGGGTAAAGAAAGGCCAGTTTCTAACTTTCTTTTATGAAGTTTCCAAATATCTGAGTCTGCTTCTCTGAATCCTGAAGTGGATTCTAGAAGGTGGACTTGGACCTTTGTTTTAGAATGCAGTCTCTTCTACTTTCTAAGGGACTCTTTGTTTTCACCACTAAAGAGAAGTAGTGTAATAACCAATGGGAAAAGTTTGTGAGTCAGGCATTCAACTCCCCAGTCTGTCACTTACTTACTAAGTGGCAGTATCTAAATTAGTTAACCTGCCCAAACCTACCATCCATTTCTGTTAAATGGAGGCAATAACATCTATGCTTCAATATGCTATGGTTTGGATTAATGTCTCCCTGAGGTATGTGTATTAAAGACTTGATCTTCAGCATGGCTACTGGGAGTGGATGGAACCTTCATCTTGGGTATTAGCTGCAGTAATGCAAAGCTGGCTAACATCAATGTTCTATAAAGACAACATGTGTTTGGGAAAGGTAAGACCTCCAATAAGTAACCCCATCGTGATGATCCTCTGGCTCACTGTCAGATGGTACTAAATCTGTGTTAATGCCAGGAGGCCTCCTAAGAGTTTTTCCATAAAAATAAATTCTTCAATGTCAAAAAAACTGCAGAGAAAATGATAGTATGCTGAGCTGGTCTCACAGACGCATTAACTTAAATATCATAAGCTCCTCTTATGAAAGAATTCAACAGCTCTTAGAGCTATAGAGTACAGAAGACCTCCACAGCAGTTTATGAAACACTGCAAGCCCCACCAACTCCAAGATGCTCTCCAAAAAACTGGTCATGACTTAAATCATTTCTACCAACCCCATCATTTTAGGTAAAAGTGTTTCTCCAGAATGTTCTGTTCTTTGCCTGAAAGATAGAAGAACAATACCTCCTCAGATTTATTAGCCAGAACTCCTGGTATATGGTATCTCTTCACTCTATAGTCAATGCTTAGTTCTCATCATAGCTTGATCACAAACCTGTAATGCTCCCAAATTACTGCTGCAAACATCATACCCAGACCTTCACTAGTTATAATACCTTTCTTTATTATGTCTCTTAAAAAGCACTTACCCATAATCGATCCCAGACTAATCCCACATGCATCCTAGTCTGAGGTTTCCTGTATCTATGACTAACCAACTACCAAACCAAATAAACCAGAGGAACCTGTGTGGATACCTGCCCTTCATTCCCTTCAATCCCTTCAATCTATTCAGTGTGGTTTTCCATTCCTCTCTCTGAATCTTCACTGGCACTTCCTGATGCAGTCCAGACTCATACTCTGACTGGACAAATACTACCTAAATGATAGGCTTTCGACCCTCTTTCTCAGTGGCAGCCAAACTCAAGAAAAGAAGAAGAAGAATCTGTTCAAGATCCACTTTTGATTCAGATTATTTCACTAGCTTCACATTTTGGTGATAAGGTCCAGATCCTTAATGAAGTATAAACCCTCTGGGATGGGAACTCCAAGTCCTCTCCAGCTGCATGCCCTATCACTGTCCTTGCACTCAGCCGCTCTCCGCATCTTTCAACTTACATAGAGCCTTGCTCACTCCAACTTAGAAGCCTTCGGCAGAGCTGTCCTATATATATATGCCTCCCAAGTCTGTCCTAAACTCCCCCTCCTTTCCTTCACTCCTCTTTCTCTTCCTCCATCTCTCTCCCTTCCTCTCTCCCTCCTTCCCTCCACATCCACCAGCTTCTCATTTGATATAT